ATGAACCCCAGACCAACCAAACGTTCCCCGCTTCCTCCGCCGTCGCCAACAGCAGTATGTGTGTGTGTCCCGCCCCCCTTGTCCATGTTCCCTGTCTCTGTGTGGGTATGTTCACCTCTCTCGTCCGTGTGTAGGCAGGAGGTATGGCTACCTCTCCCATTTGTGGGCAGCGCGGACCATCAGTATAGACAGAGTTTATCATTTCATGCATGCTGTGGATGACAGGTGTAGTAGAAGTGCTGTAAGGGCCGGTCTTAACCAAGAAATCGGTTCCCGATTTCGAATTTGATTATAAGAATACAAGAGTCGGATCTACCTAAATCCGACTTGAAATGGCCTGTGTGTCTTATCGATGAAAGTACGAACGATTTTTTTTTTGGAAATCGTTTCTCCTTTGTACACGATGCCTGGTCGGCGGGAACCCGGCACGGAACCCTCCGGCGTTGTAGGCGGGTGTGGGAAGCGTTCCCCGTTCTCCTTTTATTTTATTTTGATCGGTCTCCTCGACGCTCTTTCTCGTTTGGTGCGGTAGCTGGTCTTTCTTTCTATCATTTTGTTTCTCTTCCGAGTGGTTTTTGTACCCTATTTTTTTCTGTTTCTTCGTGGGGTCGTGTATGCCGGGTTTTGAGACCACGGGCTCCCAATTTTTTTTTTAGAGCTAATGTGAGAAACAACAACAACAACAACAACAACGTACGAAGAAGCCGAACAGGCCGGGTGATGACAGTCCCGCGGTGACGTGGATGCTGTAAACCCGCCGCAACAGCATTGGACACACAGCGACACAGCCTTCCCACAGCAGTCTGCACACATCGCACGCGACCATGGCGCGGCCTCCGCGTAGCCACGCTCGACGGAGCTCCTACAAGAGAGGTCAGAAGAAGAAGGCCATGCAGGTGCTGCTGCAGCAGTTGCTCGTCATGATGTTGACTGACGACGACAGCGATGCCCCCGCACACCGCGGCAACTTTGTGTACCGCGAGAGGAGGTCGTTCTACACATATGTGCGACCCATGGTCGAGGACAACACGTTCAGGAAGCGCTTCCGCATGGACTACACCGACTTCATGACCCTGGCAGACATCCTACGTCCCAAGCTTCAAAGGGACGAAAAGATGGGGGCTCTGCGCAACGGCGCTATCCCGGTGGAATTTCAGCTAGCGATGACTCTCCGCTTCTTGGCGGGCGGGAGTGTGTTCGAGGTCATGGACTCGAACGTCATCGCTAAGAGCACGGCGTATGCGATAGTGCACCGTGTTATCGATGCTATCAACCAGACCAGGCAATTGAACTGCAAATGGCCTTATGGGGATGATGCCGAAGCCCAGGCCGAGCTGTACCGGAGGCGAAGCACGAACGGCGTCATCCGAAGATGCGTGGGAGCCATGGATGGGCTGTTCGTGCGGTTGATCCCGCCATGCCTCAAGAGGCACGCGGTTCCCGGTTCGTTCTACAGTGGACACAAGAAAGCTTTTGGCATGAACTTCCAGGTGCGTGATGATACGGGGCGGACCTACGTCGTACCATGTCGACATATCTTCATACAGCAGCAGTCTACGGCAGCACCTACCATACATGTTTCTGTCGTTTTCGTCCGGGGGTGAGCGTTCAAAGTTACCGCACAACTGCTCGCGCTAAAACGTAGGCACAGCCATAGGGTTAGGGTTTCGGGGGTGTCGTCTCTCTTGCCGTGCTTGCCTTGTTTTTCTAAATATATTGTTACGCGTTGCAGGTAACAAACAAAGAAAACTCAGTCACGACCATTCCGCGAAAAAGGCAAACAGCGCTTCGCTGGCGAGCACCCAGGATGCGAAATATTCCCTGGTGTTTTGTTGTTACAACGGTTTATCTTTTGACAAAGAAAACAACGATGCATCCAACAACACCAGCAACAACAGCAGAAAATAGAAGGAATAATTCATAAACATACAGCGCACCTCGAGAGAAGAATTGTTGGATCCTGCACGTAGATGTGCCTGGGCGGAGTACGTACATGAAGACATACCACCAACAACGATGCTTTTATCCGCGGCGACTTATTGTGCTCAGGGAATCTGCAACGCCAGCTACGAGATCATCACGTGGACGATGAACTGCCCGGGAAGCCAAAATGATCGCACGGCGTTCAAGCATTCTGGTTTCGACGCTCTCCTGAGCAAGATGCCACCCGACTGCTTTATCGTTGGCGACGCCGCCTACCCGGCGTCGAATCGAGTGCTCGTCCCCGACCCTGGCACTGCCCTCACCCTCAGCCAAGACGCGTACAACTTCTACCAGTCGCAGGCCAGGATCTCCATCGAACAAGCGTTCGGTATACTGGTGGGTACTCGAAACGACGCCACTCTCGTCGTACCTCTTGTTGAACTTTGTACTTATTTAGGTGACACCTGTTTGGTCTCGATGTTCTCGACTGGAACCGAATAACGATTCAACAGTGGTCCGTAACTCGATAGCTTGGCATACCGCGTCGGTTCCACCCTGAAACCCTGTCGGTTCTCCGTTTTTTTTCACGAGCAGATATCGGCCATTAGTTCCGGGGTACATACCATAGCCCTTCTCCATAAGTACCTACCCAACCAGGTGCCCCTGTTCTCGCCTAATACTATGACAGGTGAAGACGTGGGAAATTCTGTGGAAGCCGCTGGCGATTCGACTAGACCGTGTCGGCCACGTCATGAACGCGATCGTTCGGCTGCACAACTTCTTGCGTCGGCGCCGGGCCCCTGTCCTTCAGTCCGCGTGGAATGTACCCATGCCTGAGAGCGTGACCTTCCACCCAGACGGGGGAATCGACGGGAGCTACTACGACACGGTGCCCACACGGGGCAGGCCATCGAAGGCTGCAGAGGTGTGCATGCCTCGCGAGATCATTCGTGACTATCTAGACCAGAAATCCATGGGGCGACCGAGGTTCAACCTCAACCGCAACGTCAACCGTGTCATCTGAAAAAGTGGGGACATGGGCCCTCGTATGGCGTGTGTCGCTACTTTTCTGGTTTTCTCCATTTTTTGCGGTGCGAGTTTATTTTGATACCATGGTTTATCGTGTTTGTTTGTTGTTGTTGTTGTTTTTCCGTTCTTTGGTATGTAGAACAGATGTTTGTTTGGGTAGCTGGCTCGTGATCACGGGAAGAAGGCGTCGGCGTCAGGGACCAGTCGGCAGGGGTACTAGAAGGTGCAGTTTATTTTGTTGACGGCGTGAAAGTGGGGCTGTACTTGGCACCGATTTAATTTTTTTGCTGTGGTCACATGCTTCTCCTATGAAGGAGGCTCCGTATTCTGCTAGCGTGCACTTGGCTCAGCTTGCATGCAATGGCGATCGGGTTTAGTTTCATTCAGACATTTTTTTTTGTGGCGGGGTGAACCTGCTCCAACATGGGATAGTTTTGAGTGATTTTTTTCTGCACCATGGTTTGGTTTGCACGTTGTGCTTCTTCGACAGGGTATTGAAGGTTTCGTTTTGCATGCAGTTTAGCTTCCGTGAAGGGCGAGTGTTCCTGCAGCTTGTTTTGTTGACGGCGCGAAAGTGGGGCTGTACTTGGCGCCGTTTTAAATTTTTTCGGGTTAATCACATGCTTTTTCCTAAGAAGGAGGCTCCGTATTCTGCTAGCGCGCACTTGGCTCAGCTTCGACGCAATGGCGATCGGGTCTAGTTTCATTCATCATTTTTTTTTGTGGCGGGGTGAACCTGCTCTACCTTTCTCTTGTTTACCTTTTTCGGTTCAAGATATGATCGACATGTGCCCGGCGCGTGTTTTTGACACCCGAGGTGTTCGTGAGCAATTTTGTTTTCTGCGCACGCCTTCGACAACCGTCGTGGGTGTTTTGGTTCGCCATGGTCATGTTTATTTTGTTTGCGGTTCGCGTTGTAGTCCGTAGGTGGGTAAAAGCAGTCTGTGGAAATCGTACTCGTGAGGAACGAGGTCAAACGCCGAGTCTGGTACCAGGCTTTTGATCGTCGATTCATTTTCCCCGATTTATTTCGGTATTCACGAAGGTGGCGCTGAGAACACGTTTTGCATAAAACTGCCGCGCGCTTCAAAGCGGTCTTGTAATTTTGGGGTGATGAGACTAAAGCGGCCGCTGCTCGCAACAAGCCTCATTTCCTGAAACCATCGTGACCCCCCCCTCCCCCCTCCCCCC